ATTATATACAACAAGAAAAACATACAATTAAAAATCAAATAAAATGAAAGGCAGCAGAAGAAGAATAAATCTTATAATATCTGCCCCTTTTGACCCCTAAATAAGTTTTTAAAAAGTGATTTACACACAAAAAGTATAGAATTGAAATGAAATGAAATACTTCTGGTGTCTCAGCAAGTAACAGTTCACACAAGGTAAACATAAAATGAAAACAAAGTATGAAAAAGATTTTAATGAAGTCCTGTATCTTTGCAATGAAAAATATGATAAAAAGAAAAGAAAGGCAACAACAGACTATTGTAAGAAAACTTGGTTCTGTAAAAGAAAAATATAATGGAAGAAGTGTGGCTCAAGACCTTTGCTCAGTACTCTAGTACTGCTACTTTGATGACTGTTTTTATACACTGACTTTAAAGCTGATCCAATCAAGAAAACTGAAAAAACACATTTAACCTGGGATTGTTGCTTTCTTACTACCTGTTTCCTTTACTAACCCTGCACTGAAACACAAGCTCTTTGTTTATTTTCTACCTTGATTTTTAGTTTCTCATCAATTTATCGTTGAGTTTTTTAATTTAAACTCTCTGTTTTCTTACACAATCATTTCCTCCGTCAGCTGTCGCTACAGAAACAGGCGTTGGACAAAGAGTTGGACACTCTGAAAGAGAAACTGAAGTGGACAGAAGAACAGCTGAAGGACAGTCAGAAGAAAGAAGCTCAGACACAAACTAAACTGACGGTAACGCACGCACACACGCACGCACACACACACACACACCCACAGAGTTTTGGGCCATCTGCTTCCACTTGCATTAGTTATTAATTAGCTGAGTGTTGGATACATTGTGACCTCCATACATTATTTAAACAGTATGTGCCATGTGTACGTCTAATAGTAGGACAGTAAATGAAATATGAGTAAATAAGTAGATTGTGGCGACACTCATTAAACTGTCATTTTAGTTAACATCCTAAATTTAAGATAATTTAACTATTCCAAGAAAAAAAAACATTCTTTTTTTTAAGTTATCGCATTTATGTGTGTATGATACAAACCCCAATATTTTTAGCTAAAAATCGTAAAGCATCTAATCCTTGTGTATAATTCTATCCCTAATCAATCATTGCAGTTTCCCCTCTGGTGGGGACATTTTAGATTATTTTGATTTTTTCGGGGACAACTACTTGTGGGCGTGTGTGGCAGTGGAGGAGCAGCGCGTCCTTCTGCATGTCGCTGAAAATAGTCAGATCCCACAGCAGAAGCCGGTTGTTAAATTAGAAAAGTGAACTATCAACATCCACATCTTTACATCCCTTTGGTTAAAAAGAAAAAAAAGGTTTTTCCTCCTCTGACTCCCTATCCAACAACACAAGCTTTAGCTATGTGTAACGTTTCCTACAGGTGGAGGGCAGAGGGGAGAAATTATGATGATTTATCCTCTGCAACACTTTCAGTCATATACGAGAAAATATTGAAAGTTATTGTGTTTTTTTTTTTTTTTTACAAAAAATGAGTCAAAATTCACTCCAGTGTATAAATACGACCTTCCAACTTTATAGGTGATTTTTAGGGTTAAGTTTTGTTCCATTATAAACATAAACGCGGTGAATAAATTTTAAATTTTGATTTCTTTATCTGAAAGTCAGTGTTAAAAATAATACAACAAAAAAACTACATTTAAAATACTGAATCTGGATGGTTAACTGCTGAAGTTAGATAAATTTAAAGCTCGTGCCTTCAGCTGAAACTAAACAGAGTGCAAACAAAGTTCACGGCATGCCTGCATGAAGCACAGCTGCTGATGCTGTTTTTTTTCTCTTAACTTGTTTGTTCTTGTTCTTATGAAACTGCTAACTGAACCTGCAGTTCATAATATTTTGCTCCTACAAAGCTTTTCCTTATCTGGAAATCTTGAAAAAAAAAAAGAAAGTACATTCAAGCTTACAGTCCAGGTGCAAACACAACAGTTGCAATGTTTTGCACTTCTTATGTATTTGTGATTTAGTTTTAGTCCAGCTTAAAGAAGTTAAAGGTGTTGTTGAGGATAAAATGTTGCAGAAATAGGTAGCAATTTTTTTCATAAAAACATTGTTTGTATCAAAATAACAATACAGCCGAGTTGACCTCTTCTTTTTAAGCCCAAACAAATTCATCTCTTATTGTGAAATGAAAAGATAAATTTGTTTGACTGGATTTAATCCACCTTTGTTTTTTGTTTTTGTTTTTTTCTCAACCCCTTGCTTTAGGAGTCAGTGCGTGAGGCGGAGGGTGTGGCGGTGACTTTGGAGCAAAGCAGGAAGAGAGAGAAGGCTCTGGAGGAGGAGGGGAGGAGACTGAAGGAGGAGCAAGCTGACACCCTGCGTCTCCTCAGAGAACTGCAAGGTGAGGAGCGATCTTTGAGAATCTCTGACATGTGTTAGTCAGTGGAGCAGGCTGTTCTGACATGTTAATCAGGAGGTACTTATAGATTTTATCATCCTTTAGTTGTGTCCTCCAGTTAACAGAATGCTCATTTCTATAACAAAACACTATAAATAAGTTTATAGTTTTAGTTTTTGGGAAACATTAATATATATTTTACTTCTAAGAGAGTGAATTTTTCAATGTTGTTATTTCTAGAAGTTTAGTTCAACATGTCTCTGCAGTAGATTGGATCATCATCGTGTCAAATTACCTCATAAAAACAATTAATGTAAAAGTGATGGTCACCAACCAGAAATAAAACTGGTAATAGTAAGAATAATAGTAATAAAATAATAGTACAAGTATTTACAACAAATACAAATGTACATTTTTGTTTGCTTCTCTAAAACGTGAGGTGCAATATAAAAGGAGGTTTTTGGCTTCACATCAGCAGCAGAGACAGTTTAAATGTTAATCTTTGAGACTTGGTTTGTATTATTGTTTTAAACATCTGTGGTCATCACAAACACAAGTGGTCAGAATATAATCAAATACCTTTATTAGACTTTTTTGTTTGGGTTCATTTTAAATTGTAAAGAGCTCCTGGTTGCTCCACCTTGAAGGAAGCTGGCATTGATTAATGACATACACATTGTTTATTCTGACGTCAACAACGTTCAGAAAACCAAAACAGTTCAATAATGTGGCTTATTTAGAAGAAATGAGACAAATGTTTGTTAGAATGAAATTCCCTGGTTGTTCACAGGAAATGACGCATCAGGCCACGGGGTGGCATCGTTTGTCCACTTTGATGAACTTCAGTCCAGAATTCTGAAAATCTTTCTATAAAACGATCTGACATAAAGTTGTTTGTCTGAAAAGCCACAGTATTTTAGTACACAAAAGCTTTAAAACAATACTTTTATACAATGTAAGTATGTTCTTAAACTCTTCAGACCCTTTAGAGTTGCTCTAATAGTGCATAAGTTTAAATCATGTATTTCAACACATTACTGAGTGTTTAAAATAAATACATGATCTGTAGAAAATGTGGCATCTAATGTTAAATCTGTGTCTTATGTTTTAACTCCAGAGCAAAAGTCCACTCCAGCGCCGCCTCAACAGCCCGTCCAGTTTTGCCCGGTTGGACAGAGTTTTTCGTCTCAGTCGTCTTCAGCTCAGCCTCCTCGTCCTCTGGCCCACAGCAGGAGACCTGCCGCTGCCCAAACTGAGCAGAAGACGGAAGAGCGGGTAGATGCGAGCAGGGCAGAGTTGTCAGCATCTTATCTGTCTGACAGAGAGCCGGGAGAAGGAATTGATGCTGAGCACATCATTGCCATCACAACCTCAGAGTGTTTACAAAGATCAGGACAGTTTAGAAGAAGTAATGAAGAAGGAAGTAAGAGTAGAGATGAGGGAATAAAATGTGACGCTCCCGTCGCCTCCTCTGTGGATGGAGCAACAGACGTTAAACATTCACCTCACCTTTCTCCTGACAGCACACATGTTCTCAAATCTGAACAGACCGTCCCCTCTGTAGACCTAAAGAAGGAGAATGCCCAGCTCCGCTCTGAGCTCAGCGACGTACGCGAAGAGCTCCAGAGACGTTTGGAGGACCTGGAAGCTCAGCGGAGGGCCGAGGCAGAAGCGAGAACTCGCCTCAAACAGCTCAGCCGGAAACACGCCGGCCAGACAGCGGAGAGGCAGGAGAAAGACAAGGAGTGGAGGGCAAAACTGGAAAATGAGAAAGCTGAGACAGAAAAACTGAAGAGGGCCAACGCCGCTCTGTTGGCAGAGATGAAGATTAGTAAAGACGAACACGACAAAGCAGAGAGAGCGACGCAGGAAGAGGACAACGACGTATCACAAGAGGACAGGGAGAGCGAGTTGATTGAACAAAACATTCAACTGAAAAATCAGCTAGCAATGGTGAAAGCCCAGCTCGCTTTAGAACGAGAGGAACGAGCGCAAGAGGAGGAGGAGAGAATCAGAATCATAAACACAGAGGAAGATGTGAAAAACCAGCTGAGCCTGAAGCTGGCAGAGATCATGGCCGACGTCGAGGATCTAACTCACCAAAGAAATGAAGAATTAGCAGAAGAGGAGAGACTTGCAAACAGTCCATTGTTGACTCTTCATGAAGATGAACTTAACTCCAACACCAAACTCGCCTTCACCGAGTCCACCGACCAAAACAGCACCCTCATTTTCAAAGAAACAGACGTCCATCTTGATGGTCAAGTGGTTCAGATTGAAGGTAACAAACCCAACTCTCAGGAAAAGTCTTCCTCATCAGGTGGTGAGCTCGACAACTTTGAACTCGTTAAAGAAGTTGAACAGCTGAGAAGAAAGTATACAAAGGAGTCAGATCGTGCTAACAAGATCCAGGTTAAGTTTGACGCCTTACAGGTCCAGGTAAGATTAAAAATTTATTATCTCTATCAACCTTTTTCATTATGTCTTAAAGATACATTTTATCACAACTCAGCCATTCAGGCAAAATCAGAAAACTGTCTCTAAACATCCCATTATTTAACTTTAAATAAGAAAAGAATGCATCTCTTTCAGCAACAAAATCAAAGATTCCTGAAAAATTCTAACTTTATTTTCTTGGCTTGAAGTTGACCAGTGGTTAGGAAAAGTTCAGAACAAGAAACAATAAAAGCTATTTCAGTATTACGTTTGGGGCTGGATAAAATGGTAATGAGGGCCAGATTTGGCCCACGGGCCTTGAGTTTTTGACGTGTTTTAAGGGTTTATCGTGAAGCAACTTGAACTGTCAGAACATCAGGGCTGGGTGAAGATAATTAAACACTTAGACATGTTGTTTCTGTTTGTTTATATATCCTGAAAGTGTTTAATTTTCAATCTGACGTGAACAAATACAAAGAGATTTGTAAATTCTGAACTAAAAAATGTAAGCTTCCTTGTGTAGATAATAATTTATTACACATTTAAGGTGTAAATTGTGTGATGCTCTGAAAACAGTGTAAAGCTCACATATTTTCATCTTCAGCCTCTCTTTTGCTTTGTTTTTATTTCTCTGCAGGTGACACGTCAGACCAAAGAGCTGACTCGGGCCTTTGAGAGGCAGACTCAGCACATCGCAGGCCTTCTGACTGAGCTGCAGGACAAGGAGAGCGCCCTCTTCAGTCAGGGAGAGGAGCTAAAGAGATACAAGCAAGAGCTGGATGTACTAAAGAGAGAAAGAACTGAAGAGAACCAACGAGATACGTCAACAGAAACCTCAGAGCTCCAGCATGAACAAGAACAGGAGTGTGTTGTCACTGTTCACACTGCAGATCCATGTGCTGCTATGAAGTTACAGAACAATACGAGTCAGACAAAGACTGAGACACTTGAAACTCCTGAACCTGAAGATGACAGTGACGCAGTAACGTCTGAACAACAGCAATCAGTCTCTGTAGACCTGGATAAGTCTGAGAGCGGCCGTGAGTCTGCTTGTGAGGTGGCAGAAAATCCCTGCAGTCAAAAGGAAGTCCTGCATACAGAGCTCACAGCTCTCAGACAGGAAAATCAGACATTGAAACAAAAACTAGAGGATTCTAGTATCTCTGACTCCAGAAACCCAACACTACAGGCTGAAGGCAAAAACCGAGACGACTCAGTCAAACAAAGCCAAAGTTCTGCTCCTCTGTCTCGATTTGAGGAGGAAGAGGCAGAAAGTGATATCCTGACAGAGGAGCAAGAGTCGCTGCAAGGACATGTGAAGAAGAATGAAAATCAAGGTCAAGATTCAGAAAGGGGAGAAGTGCGATCCCTGATTAGTGAAGATGATCAGGAAGAGGTGTCTGAGGTGATCCACCTGCAGCTACAGGTAGAGGGAGACAATCAACAATTCTTAAATTCAAAGAGCAAAAAGTGATTAAAACATTCACTCACAGCAGAGCTTAGTGTTTAGCTTTAAAGATAATAGTGTTTTCATCTTTAAATTTAATATATCTACTCTGATGTGAAACAGTAAGACTAATTTACTGCTTATAATATGAATTATTCATGTAAACATTTGGTAGAAAAGTAACTGTATTGATCCGTGTTTTTTTTTTTTCAAACGGATGGTAATTCTATTTTCATTTTATATTCCAAAAAACATGAAAACTGTCCGTCTTTTTTATTTTTCTCACACCGGAGAGAAACATGGCTCACAGCAACTCATCTCGGTCCTGTGGAACCTGCTGCAGCTTCAAGTTTGTCATGGACCGCTTGGAGAAATATTTAATGTACTAAAAGCACCAGAAGCTCCAGGAAACAGATACCAGCTAACACCTGTTAAGGAAATGTAAAACTATTTAGCTAACATTTATTTATTGCGGCTTCCTGGTTAGCAAGTAAAACATGTTGATTTATCCCACTATCAGACTATTTAAATAGTTTTTTAAAAGAAATTATCTAGACAAGCTATATTAATTTAAAAAATAAATAAATAAAGTCTGCTGTTGGTTAAAGAAATTCAAAAGTAGTTTGCATTAGTCCATTTACAGGCAGCTGCTGTTATTGAAAATTTATTTATCTAGCTCCACTTTAAATAATAATGATAGTGTTAAACTTCCGGTTTGGGAAAAGTAAAAAGAAGGAACATTTCCCCATTTTTGGAGTATAAAATTAAAATATAATACCCATCAGTTTTTCGGTAAAAAAAGTGCACAGACCAGTATTAGTAACTTTTATTACTCATGTGTTTCAGGTGGAGGCGCTGCAGAGAGAAGTAAGAGCTCTCTCTGAGGAGACGGAGGCTCAGGCTCAAGAGCTGGCTGTGTGGAGACTGGCCTCCCAACCAGCCCCAACATTTAACCATCTCCTTCCCAGCACAGAAGATCAGGTCTCTGCAGAGAGTCAGGCCCAGTCGAATCAACAGCTGATAAATGAGTTCCACAACCAAACAGGAACCCTAAACCAGGACCAAACTCTCACAATCCTGACCCAGTTTCAGGACTGGGGTTCTCAGGGAAACATCACAGTCATCAGAGAAGATGACTTATCCCTCTGCTGCTCCTCCAACAAACTGAGAGGACGCACCCTGTTCTCCAGGTAACTCGCACTAAAGTGTAACAACATTTGTAACATAATTTCTTTTACTGCATTTGTTATTTGGTATTTCTGCTGGAATTTTGTTTTTTATTTATTTTTTTATTTTTTTACCATAAGAATTCAGAACAGCAACCTTCCTGAACCAAAGAGCCCCAACTCGTCAAAAAAGACTGCAGCGTCTCATGAAAACAATCAGAACAAGATGGACCAGGTGATTTTATTTTTTCTTTTGAATCTACTTTAAGATGTAGCCTTCGTATCTCTCTGTAAATTTATGGATAACTAATAGAAAATGTAAAAAAAAAAAAAGCTTATAACTTCATTTTGTAACTTTGTTTATTTTCAGCAAGATGCTATAAAAGAGCTGTGCTCCTTTTTAAAAAACAGAAATGGTATCATAAGTCCAATTTTTTCTTTATGCAAGAATAAAAACATCTGTAGATTTTAATATCTTTCAATTGGCTATTTAATATTCTCTCTATATACACAGATAAAATCAGACTCTGACCACACTTAAGTACCTGTTTGAATGAGAAAGGAGGTTTTGAAATCTTTCAGTCTGCTTTTAATCACTGAAACATCTTTGGTAAGGGTTTGTAATGATATTCTTTTAGAAAATGACTGGTCAGTTTGTGATCCTGGACCTTACTGCAGCTTTTTAAACTGCTGACCACAGTATCCTTTTATCACGGTTAGAACACTGGGTTGGGATCACAGGAGCAGCATTGGATTGGTTTCTTTCTTACCTGAGTGACAGACGTTTTGTGTTAATGTTGGAAACCTTTTCTACTTTAGTGCCCGTTTCTAGTGAGGTTCCACAGGGCTCGATTCTCGGGCCACTTCTGTTCTCATTGTACCTTCTTCCTCTGGTTTCTGTTCTGAGGAAACATGGTCTGTCCTTTCATTGTTATGCAGATCATTGTCAAATCAACCTGCCTTTTAAACCTAATTATCGTTCTCCATCCACTAAAAGGTTTTAATGACAGGATTGGATGTCTGCAAACTACTGCTAGCACCCTTCTAGTTTGAGTTGTATATAAAACATTTTGTTTTAAATCTGTGGGTGATTTTAGACTCTTGACGTTAAGTTTAACAGGCAGATCAGCTGTGTTTTGCAGAAAACCTTTTTCCAGTTAAGGCAGATAGCTAAACTTAGGCCAGCTTGTCCAGAATGCTGCAGCTCCCATCTGCCCTCAAATGTTAGACAGGCCTGATCACTTCCTGTTTAAAAACACATCTGTTCTTATTGACATTTAATCAGGTGAGTTATTTTAGTATTTTATTGTTATGTGTTCTTCATTTATTGTTTTCCTGCTGCTTTTAAATTAATTTGTTTTGCTGTTTTTATTTACATTTTTTTTCTTGTTCAGCGCTTTGGTAAACACCTGTTTTATAAATGTGCTTTCTAAATAAATTTGACTTGACTGTATAGGTTTGCTTTAGAAGGAAATTGCTTTTAATTCAAACTGTTTTAAGACTATTTCTTTCAACAATTTAAAGAAAATAATCAGTTCATCAATTTAGAGGATTGATGACTGGCTGAGTTTGTTTATCTTGCAGCTCTGCAATATCCAGATAATTTATGAGAGTACTTCTGTGCAATTAGGTTGAAATTATAGAAAAATAAAGTTTAAATTGTTAACGTAACAAAAATAAGTGGTCAGTGGGTTGTTTAAAATGCAAAACTCTTTAAACTGAACTTGAAGGACCTGTTCCTTTTTAAATGCTAACATACAAGTTACACAGTTTACTCAGAGCAATTTCAGTTATAGTTAAACAGTTATTTGAAACACTTATCATACTTTTCCTTAAATGGAGCTTTTATTGTTTGTTTTTGTAAAAAAAATTGCTGTCATTTTCTGCACCAGTTACATCTTTAATTACTGTTTTGTTGTTGTTTACACAGGAATCTGAAAAAGAAAACCTGCAGATTAACCTGCAGAGGTCAGACGTTTGTCCAGAACAAAGCAAAGTGAAGAAAGAACTCATCCAAATATCATCTTCTCAGAAATTGTCTGAGCTCAGCAGTGCCAAAGATCCCCACAAAGTGTCAGGGACAAATCCAGCCACTGTTGTAGAATGTTGCACTACAACTCCTGAGACCAGACAGGACGGTGAGAAAAGCACAACCACAAAGACTGCAGACAAAAACATCAGGGCAGAAATAAGGAGTGTCAGCAGCCAAACGGACGAGAGTTCGTCTTTTTGCAGCGCCTTTAGAGTCTGTGCCAGCACACAAACCGAAAAGGATTTAAAAGACAAAGAAGAACCGGTGGACTCTCCTCCTGTCGCGGTGTCAGGACAGACCGAGCCAGGCGACAAAATGTTGCTTTCAGGTTCTTTCCCCATTCCAGCGGACCCAGCCCGACTTGCTGAAAGAATCCGTCGCAGCAGGACTCAGCTGTCAGCGGCCTTTGATGATACGGAGTACGAGCCGTATGGCCTGCCTGAAGTCGTCATGAAAGGTATCGTTTAAATCTCAGTTTGTGGAGTGAAACTTAGCATAAATGTGGTTTTACACTGTGATGACGAGCAGCTCTTGTTTTGATCTATGGATTCCCCTGGATTATAACCCATACCTAAAAAAACATGGAGCTTTTTCTCTACTATACTTAATGTCAGGATGTATCACCAGTTTAAAAAAAAACCTTAGTTTATGTTCAGTAAACATACAAAAACTAAACTTGAATGCTTCTCATAAACACACACTCTGTACTTGGTTGTAACTCATCAGGATCCCCCAACAATCACCTACAGTCCTAAATTTCATCAAAGGTGGCTTAAAAATGTCTGAAATTTTTTTGACTTGCTGAAACCTGCAGATACTCAGCATCAAACTTGAGTTATTTTGTTTTGTGTAAAAGTGAATTCTACTGATCTGAGTTAAGTCTCTAAATATTCAACTTGCTGAACTCAGAACAGAGCGAAGCATTTAATGACTAATGAGGAGGGGACTGGAGAGACCAAAAATAAAAATAAAGGAGTGAAATGTGGCTTTACTTTGACCAGCTGAACACAAACATGACTTTAGTGTTTGTGTATGTTTTCTCAGTTTTATTATCTGTAAATAAGAAGCCTATTTGCTGACAAGTTTGCCGTGAATATTTAACTGTAAGTAAATGAAAGAAAAATATACCTGTTTTAAAATAACTTCAGCTCTGGTTGAGAATAATTTTACTTTCACCTTCAAAAGGTCTGTTTGTTTTTTGTTTGTTTATATTTAAAAGAAAATTGCAGAAATTAGTTTTGTGTTCTGCTAAGAAAAAAAATATTAGGACCAGAAGCATCATTTTCATGGGGCAACTTTTAAATATTATATTTTGAAATATACAAAAAACAAAATCTTTTGATGTTTTTTTTCTGTCTGCATTTATTTTATTTTGTTCTTTTCCTCTTTCATTCACCTGCTTGTTAATGTTTCATTTATAAAAATTTCTGTTTTCCTGCTTTTGTCTTGCAGGTTTTGCTGACATCCCCACTGGACCCTCTTGCCCCTACATTGTGAGAAGAGGTTTGTTGGGGACAGCTGTGGTACCCGTGTCTCAGAAAGGAAAAGAGGACGAGGAGACGGATTAAAGCACAGCAACAGGTTGCATCAGGTACAGTGGCAATATTTTTCTCTTTTCTCTGGAAAATTTTTATTTAAGGTTGAAGTTTTGAGTGATAAACGTGTACATACTCTGAGTAGTTTTTGCACCTGAACTTTATCACTAAATATCTCTAGTCCCTGGGTGGCTTTAACTCATTAGTGAGGAGGTTTCTTCAACTGGAGGATTGTGGGTTCAATCCCTAACGAGTGCAGCGTGTCATATTTTCCTTGGGCAAGACATTAAACCTCCCCACATAGTGCATGAGTGAAAAAAATAAAACAGCTGAATATACCGTAAAGTAGAGATCAACCAATACGGGTTTTTAAGGCCGATGCCGATACTGATTATTTTGACGATCCATCAATATGTGCTATCAAATTTTTTGGGCCGACTTTCGAAGCAGATGCTGCTGATACAAGAAAACACCACATATATCATCCAGCCGATGTATCGGTAGAGCTCTAATAGAGAGGGTAAATATATATATGAGACAGAAATGTAAGAGTGGAGGAATGAGAAACATTTTAGTTACAGGACCTGAGTGAGGTGAAAAAGGCACTTTATGAATTAAAATCATTTATCAATTTATTTCCAAAGAACAAAAAAAAGGTATTTTTAGGAAAAAACACTTTTTAACTTTTGAATGTGATCATATCCAAACAGCGTATGAAATGTAAATTCATTTTGTACCACAGAGATGATGTATTAAGTGTCTTTTTATAAGTTTGCCTCCGTTCTTTCTGACTTTTATCTAGAAATAATTTAACTTTTCTTAAAGATATTTGTGTGTTTTAATAAAAGTATTCATACTAAATGAATTGAAAGCTTAGTTTTTTAGCTGAGACAAAGTTTTCATTCAGCAAAACTAAGAGGTTTTTATGTTTTCTTTTAGTTGTTTACAGATCTTGTGGAAGGATTTGATTAGTGGCTTCGCCGAACTTGTATGATGGACCTGGAGCCTGTAAAGACACTTGAAGCTCTTCAGACTTTGAAACACAAACAGGACCAGTTAAAAAAGCTGAAATCAGACGTGTTTCTGCACACAAGCTTCCAGGTAACTGGGACTGCACCAACGAAATGAACACCTCCTCCAGTGTGGATCCAAAACGTTTTAAATCTCACTGCTTTACCCTGGAGCTGTTGTGTGGAGCCTCTAGTCACGTGTATAATTAGGCACTCGCAGGTCTGACCTCACATTATTTTCAATTAAACAGGGCTGAGTTGATGTTTTTCTAAACCAGCACTCATCAAGATAAGTTTGACTTGTTTTCCAGAAGGCTTTAGCCAAGAGTGGCCAGTTGTGAAAACATTTTCACATTTCTTTATGTGGTTTTATTTATGGACACTTGAATGTGTTATTTTTTAGTGAGCAGGGGTTTACAAAGGTATGTGTGAAATATTAGCTGTGAATATGAACATGTGTGTTCTCATCCTAATATTACTGTTTGTGTATGTGTGTAGGTGTGTGTGTTTGTGTGTAGGAGGAGAGAGAGAGCTCATGTCTATGACTCAGTCTAACCTGCACTGGTTTCCGCTCCATGTATGGTGAATTCACGCTGCGCTCCTGTTCTCCTCTCTGGGCTGCTTTGCGTCTCCGTGCGACTCTTAACAAACACTCAAAACACAAGTTAGTTTAAAATCAACTTTATTTCACTAAATAACATGTTTACAATAGATGTTTTTAACAATAGATCAAATGTAACTTCTCTAGTTTTTATTTTTATTTTTTGCATTTAAGAAAAAGGAAGAATTCTAAGTTTTAGTTTGGTGCCAAGTTTGTGGCAAATCTAAGACAAACTCTGGCAAAAACTATGGAATCATTCCTCGTAGAGGATGTTCTTTCAATTGTTTAATTTTGTGTAAAAAAACATGCCACAAAACTATTATTTTTTAAAGCCCAACCTTCTGGCTTTAAGAAATAGTAAAAAAAAACAAAAAACAAGTCACTCTTTTTTTTTCTTCTTTTTATTATTATTATTTTAGCTCAAGTAGAGGTAAAAAGAAATACACAGAATCCCTATATTTTGCAGTTTTAAAAAAATCAGGTGTTCTTTTTATCTGTTCAAGATAAATCACATAATGTTTCAATAGACGTTTGGTGTTTTTAGTCAGCTGTCTAAAATCTGAACCAGGTTTAAACAAAATGAGCAAATGGAGAAGGTTGTAAAAAGGAAAAGTACAAAAAGGAAGACCTCAAAATTTCATGAAAACAGAAAATACACAAAACAAATGAGAAACAAGCAGGCAGAAACAAGTCAGTGTCTTTAAAAAGTCGCCTTGAAGAAAAAGGATTTATCTGCAGAAAACTTAAACGAAAGTCATCATTAACACTCAGAGATTTATGAAGATGACTTAATGTACATGTCTACTGTCATTGATGACTTGAGCCTGCAGGTCAGGGGAAATGACAGTCATTACATCAGTTCAGTTTATTTATACCAAGTCACAACAAATGTTTCAGGGCACTATTCAAAAAAACATCTAAGGAAGCCACCAGATTGCATTGAATGACTTCATCACAGTCTCCATCCTGAGCAGCACGTTGGCGACAGTGGAAAGGAAAAACTCCCTTTTAACAGGAAGTACGGTAACCAGCAGCAGAACCAGGACCAGGCTCAGGACGGACAGCCATCTGCCTCAACCGACTGGGTTTGAGAGTCTGAGCCTCTAGCATCAGAACTAAGGAATGACTCAGGAAACTTAAGCTCAACTATAGGATTTATCAAAAAAGAAAATCTTAAGTCTAGACCTAAAGTAGACAGAGTATCAGCCTCACTGACAGAAGCTGGAGGTTGGTTCCACAAGAGAGAAGCCTGAGAACTGAAAGCTCTGCCTCCTATTCTTCTTTAGAAACCACAAGTAAACCTGTCTGGATGCTTTGTTAGGAAATTATGGGAAAAATAAGATCCTTATTACAAGATGGAGCTTGGTTGTTGGGAGCTTTGTATGTTAGAAGTAAGATTTTTACTTAATGTTTACTTAATTTTTTTTCTCCATTTTGAGTGATTCAATTTTTTCTCTACTTCATCTAAAGAAGAGCAACTATGATAGACTACACATTTATATTTCTTTTTTTAAATAGTTTCTTAAAAAGGTTGGATTTTAATGATAGTAAAATAAATATTTTTTAGTCAATATTAAACGACTAAAGGAGCCTTCTCCATGAGTGGTAATTCCAGAGTTCTAGTTGCAGATATCACATAATTTATATGCGTTTAGGACCAGTTTAATGTGTAGGTTTGCATTTTATCCATTGGGCTAATAATCTGAGAGTTTGCTGAGTTTTCTTAAAGAAGGAATTTTACGGTAACGAGACAAAATCTTTTTAGCATACTTTACTATGTAGGTCGTTTACTCATGATCAAGTCTAACAAAAATGTTACACTTTATATTGAAGATGTATTTGCTTCTAGTTTTGTTTTTATTTTATTTTATTGTGCAATGCTTTGATTGATGCATAAATGAAGGCTATGAGCTAAAGTTGCTTCTTCTGTTTCAGATTTTATGCCTCGGAAAAGGGTCGATATTAAATTTTTTGTCATTTCACAAAGTTACAACACTTAATACAGCTGCACCTGCAGCAATTCTGTTACTTTCACCTTCCTGCGATGTAGTCTCTATATCACTTTTCATTTTATCTGCACAAACTTTATCTTGAAAAGCTTTGTTTATTGTGTAAAAAAAAACTTACCTATTTAGGTACTGTATTTGTTTGGCTGCTTCACATCAACTTGAAACTGCTTTTTATTACAACCTGTGCAGACTTTAGGAATGTTTGAATTTTTTTAATAAACATAAAATAGAGTGCTTTAGTTTTATTTTGTAGCAGATGTATTGTGGAATTAGTGATGCTGTTACACAGTTGTATTAAAGTGCTTTTTTCCCGATGTTTTCTCTGTTTTATTTAATTATAGTTGTTCTCTGTCGGTCAGTTGGACTTACTAGCTCAGTTTGAACACAGCGTACTCTGTTGCTATTTTTCTTCCATGCTAACACCCTCACACACACAAAAACACACACATCACCTCCCTTCGCCTCTGTGTATCTCTGGGATCTGCAGTTTTCTGGCACCGAGGTGAGATGGTGTCTTGTGTGCGGGGGAACGCTGAATTTGTTGCCTCCTTTCAGACACTTTTATGTGACAACACTGTGTTGTTTGTAGCTACAATAAAAGTCCCGCTCCTATTTTAACCTTTGTTTTTCTTTAAGCGCCTTGAAGTCTGAGGAGTCGGGTCTGTTGACCTTTCAGCTCCATGTCGTGACGTTGGGCCTGGTTTTTTTTTACAGCCGGGATGCACAATTAGGTCTAAACGAGTGGCGTGGTCCAATGAAGAGAGCCTCAAAGTGTTTTTAAGCACAATATCTTGGTTAAATCACGTAAGTATTTCCGCAATTACCAAAGTCCTCTTCCTTTGCCTTGTGGTCGAGCGCATTGTTGGAGAAGGTGCTGAAAGATTTTGAATTCAAGCGAGGATGGAGGAGAAACGCTCTCCAGCTTTAGAGTCTGTTTCACCTCCTGATGCACATCTTCCTTGAGCGTTACAAAAAAAGTGCGCATCATGACTTTGGCTTTGAAGAAACAAGTGTCTCTTATTTGCTCCTCAAAACGACAGGAGCTGGGAAGGCGATGGATTTAGCCCCCCCCCCCAGCATCCAGCTCAGGAAACTCCGGGCCCTTTGCCTCTTCCTCTGTAGTGACGCCACTTAATCGCAGCAACAGCAGCAGCAGCGCCGTAATGGACTTCTCACGTCTCCGCCTCGTCCTCTCCTTCATCTCCTCCTCCTCAAATGATCTGCTCTCTTCTGCCCAAGAGATGTAGGGTCATGAGAAGGTGGTGGTGGTGGTGGTGGTGGGGGGCACACCTACCAAGGAGAAAACACACACACACAACTTTTCTCTTGCAGCTGAATGGTGGAAGAAGAGCTCCAGCTGCATGGAGACAACTTGGACAGCATCGTTTCACCAGAACCAGGGTAAGTCATTTTTACTCTCAGTCTAACATCGGATTCTTGGTCTATTTTGGTTTATTTTGTTCTTGATGAGAAATTCTCTGCTCGTTTTATGGGCCTGGGGGCCTCAAGCATTTCCTTTTTTTAAAATGTTACCATGTATAGTAGCATTTTAAACAGAAGATAATCTGAAGTTTCAGTGGCCGGGCCAAGGCTCGATTTTTAAAGATTTACTTTGAAAGTATTATTTTACAGCTTTCCTGCCACAAAGCATTGGTTTATTTTTGAAGGATTGTTCTTTCCCAGAGCACGAAAACCCCACACAGAGCCTGCAACCTGTGATCTGCCTCTGACGTCAGCGTTGGCTCGTTGATAAATAGCTTGGAGGGTAATTATGTCCGAAGGAGCTCGTTTTCACCCCTTCACTGTAAATTCCTCAGTGGGGCCTGCATCCTCTCCCACTGGCAGTCTTATTGATCTCTGGAGGTTTGTCCACAAAGCGTTTGATTCTTCCACTGTGGCTGATAGTCATGTTCACAAAAACAGACTGCTTTTTGTCAAACAGCCTGCAGCAGAAACAACTCGGTCGCAGAAATGTTTCTGGTTTGTTGCCTGCAGTCACCCCCGTTCTGTTTTGTTCTTGTGTGGCGCCTTGTTGTTGTTTAGTCGTTTGTGTTTTACTGCAAATATGATTTTATTGCAGACGTCTAATCCTCTTTGAACTAAATTTAATGAAATGTCATTAAACAAACAAAAAAAACTCTTGTTATTAAACTGGCAGTGCTGCAGAATGAATGAACTTCCACTGTAATTAATCCCCTTAAATGGCTACTTTAATAAAAACTAATTCGTGACTTTATATAGAAATTGGTTCAAAGTATTACTAGAATTTGTTAGAGCTGTGTATTGGAAGGAATTTGGAGTCAATGATATATCGCGATATATTGCGATACTGCAAGCAAGGCGATATATTGCCTTTTTTTCCAAAAGTATAATTTTTAAGAAGTCAGTATAAAGAGAACATGTATTACATGCATAAAACCTGATTAAATTCTGTTTATTTTTATGCAATCAGAACAGTGAGAACTTTACTATTTTTCTTACATCCATCCATTAAGCCCTAATTAAAAATCGATACATTATCAAGAAATGAAATGTTACAATATTTCAGTGTATCGTTATTTTCTTGCACCCCTAGACTTTGTTGTGGTTCGCAGTAAAAAAGCTGCAGTCCAAAGAAAGCTGGGTTTTCTCATGTTTTGCCAAAATCTTACTGTTTTTCCTCACAAATTTTCTATCATTTTTGTCCACATTGTGCAGCATACGCCTAGTACAAGTCTGCACACTATTCCTGATAGATCCACATGTTTTGGTGTATAATTTGTATCATTTTTGTGGAGCTTGAAGAAAAGTTCTGAGCTCCTAAACTAAACATGACTGTTATCTTTTTGGTATTTTCAGTTTGGTGAGGTTCGTCTTAAACTCCTGCCGTAAATGTAAACCCAGGAGGAGCTTGTTTACATCTCGTCTTTGCTTCGTGCTTCTTTCCAAACAGTTCACCTCATGATTTATTGCCCTCCACCTGCCTCCGTGTTTAATTTAAAATCAGATCTCAGTCTGACCCCCCCCCACTTCAGTGAATATCTTAGCAAAACATCCAAATACGCCAGTGTAAGTTCGGTCTGTGATAACTAATAGCATCTGTCTTTGTTGAAGCCCGCGGCTGAGGGCAAAGAGCTCCAAACACAGAACAAAGCCAGCGGTCCATTACTGCAGAATGCTAACAGTTGGGCCAGACTCTGGGACGTCTCAGAACACTGTCAGAGTCCACGTAGTGGTGACCGGATCTGGTCGACCCGGGAATAGGAGCTCCTAAATCCCTTTTTCTGTTTGTCTCAGAGCCTGTCTTAAAGGTAAACACAGTTAAAACATAATTGAAAATGAAAATAAACTCTTGATGCGTTACTGCAGCCTTTGTCAGAGTCTAATCAGACGTGAGCCCACTGACAGGGTGGTCTGCTTTGTTTCATTTCTTGACTGGTCATCAGGATAAAATCTCTGCATTGCAAACATTATTTAATGACTCACAACTTACTAAGAGAGAACACTCTTCTGTATGGTCAAACAAGACTTTACATTTTATTCTTTTTATATTTGTCCAAAGTGTTGAAATGGCTTGAAAAGAAAAGAATTGAACCGTAATTCTGTATTTCTGAACTATAAGGACGCTGGAAACAAGCAGTGAGATTAAGAATGAAGCAGGAAGGATGAAATCCTGGCGTCTGTGATTAAAGGTATGTTCTGTAACCTTAATATCAAGAAAACTATCAAAATATAATTCAGTTGGTAGCTCTTCCTGTTATCATCATTATTATCTCTCTTTTCTCATATAAGAAGATTTTTAATCTCACAGTTAGATTAGCTTTCTGGTTTTATTTTTTTTGAGCGTTTGCTGGTACCCTCCAAGTTAAATATGTCCTTACGTCAGTAACCCCGCAGACTGCGTCAGAGCCGCACAAAAAATAACCTTAATGGGCCCTGTACAAAGGGGTATTTCAAAGGTATTTATATCTCAACTTGTTTGAAACAATTCCATAATTTCCTGTGTGGCCCTGAAAGGATTTACAACATAAAATTACAATTTTAAGACTCAGGTTTTGGGTTTCCTGGTGGCATGAGTTACAAATCGTCACCTTTCTAAAATAATCACCTAAGGCCTTTTATGGCAAAAATGACATTTTGCAAAAATCTTCTCATGATGCTGGCCACCTGTGGTAAAATCGCCTATATCCACAGTTGATCAAATCATTTGCTTCAACCCCTTAAAGGGGGATGTGCTGTAAAATCGAATGTTTTTATATAATGTTCTAATGTCATTCCCTCATCAAAAACATACCCACAGTGTTGTTTTAACTAGTTAATGCATGAAATCCTTGAATCTCCTGTGGTAGCCTAGCCTGGTCCTTCACTTTGCTTCGTACGAGGGTCTGGACTCTCGGCTATCCACAAGTTTCTGGAAATGCACATGTAGGCTGCCATGACAGACACTTTCGCTATGATTTATGGGTAGTGGCGTGGCCTCCGCTGAAGTTTAAAACGATTGGATCGGTTGGCCGTGACGTATGTGTGCCAGCTCAACTGTGAAGGAGGCTAAGCTAAGAAGCTAAGCTGAAATCACGTGTGCTGTAAACAACCCTACTGAGAGGAGAAAAGTACCGAGTCCAACGAGACAACTGTGAATGAGAGCTGCTGCTTTGTCAGACAAATTTAATTTAATTTGGAAGCCTTATCAACACAGACTGGCTTCATTCACTTCCTGCGCAGAAAATCGACGTTCTGTTCTCTGATTGGCCCGGACAAAATTCTGAAGAAATCCTTGTCTTTATGAGAAGTCCCAGATGGAGCAGTGAAGCGAAACTAGAATTGAGCAGAACTGCGTAGGAAGGCAAGGGCCAGGCTAGTGGTAGCCATGTGGAGCTGCCTAAACTCTTGTTGGTACAAAGCCCCGCCTACTTACACAAAGCTCCTCCCTGGAGCTCAGTCTGTAGCCGAGCTCCTGAAGCATTGTGATGACGTGCTGAAGTGGGAGTGTTGGAAACCGTAGGAGTTCTTAGAGACCGAGGATAATTTCAAGGCGTTTAGATAGTCTATAATAAAAAAATCTAATTTATTTTTGATATATACAGAATTTTTATAACAACTGAAGGTAACATAGTTACTTGATTGCGGTATAAAATCTATGTGCCTGGAAAATACAAAACAGCCCCTTTTAAGATAATGGCCTGATTTATTTAATTTAATTTATTTATTTATTATTTGTGTGTGTGTTTCCTGAAAAACTAAACAAAATGACTCGGGGGTATTATTTTATGAAGGTGTAGAAATGATGGTCTTCATCACAGCAGCATCTCTGTTGTTTCTTTGGACAATTTTTTTTTATTGAGCCGCTTTCAAATAAAGGGCACTACAGCACAGAAAGTCCTTATTTAAGAGCATATTTACTTCTCAAAATTACCAATAAATCCAAACATATTTTGTGTTCAGTGGATTTTCTTCAGGCGCTCATGCTGTTCATTCTTAAACCAAGAAATTATCGTTGGGCAAGATTTGTAAGACAGAAGGACTTTTTGTTCTCCACCACATCAGCTTAACATTAAAATAAACAAAACTGTAGTTTGAAGCCATCAGCTGATTCGTTTAGTAAAAGGATTATTTCATATTATCACATCACCACTTAATCAACCTGAAATCATGTTATGAAGGTTTAATGACAGTTTTGTGAATGAAAAGTTAATACAGACCATTGCTTTTTATAAAGATACTTCACGGCATCAGCTAGGTTAAATGTTTTATCTTACTTTAGTTTGACTCTTAAATGTAAAACATTTGCTGTAGCTTGCTCAGACACACCCGTGTTCACGTCTATAGAACTCTAAAGGAACTTCCTGTTTATGACCAGCTGTATCCTGACCGAGACCCAGAACTGACCCCTGGCCTCAGAGCTCGGACCTTAGACCCCGAAGGGGCAGGGGTGTCGACGGGGAGAAAATGCGATGCATCACCCTCACCACCCTGCTGACGGGAGTCATGCTGTACCTGGGGGTGGGAGCGCTCATTTTTGTCTCCCTGGAGTCCCCAAAGGAAAGCGAGGCTCACGAAAACCTGCTGAAAGCCAAGCAGGTCTTCCTCAGTAACAAGTCCTGCGTCTCCGAGGTGGACTTCCACGAGCTTGTAAAGGTATCCTCTGACAAACATTATCCTTCATGTCGGCCTGTTCAGCATGAGATGTATTACATTGGATTTTTGCAAAGTGTAATTTATTTTCTGGGCATTGATTAAGCTCCTAAACAAACCTGTCAAAAAACAATGTGATGGATGCTCTGCAGGGCTCCACAATCACTAACTTTAAACTGCCTGTGACATGCATATTCTTCAAATACAAAAAGTCAAAGAAAACATCTTTATATTTAAGAAAGTTGAAATAATACACACAATTTAACCCATTTTGTCCCATAACTGGCAGATTTTCTTTTGAATTTAGCTCAGCCAAAGTGAAACAGGAAGTGACATCAAAGGGGAACTCTTTAACAAAGAAAGCTCCCTGGTCTTTGTTTATTGAAAGAAAATTATTTGAACTCTGACTCTTCCTCATCTCTCTCTGGCAGTGATTCAAAATAATGTAAAGAAACATCAGATTCTTCTCTACAGTCTGGGTTGTTAGCTGTTGTAGCAACGCTCTGTTCACACTCAGACATTCCCCTTTGACATCACTTCCTGTTACTTTACAGGCAAATATCTCAACAACTGTTCATCTCAGCGACATGAAATTTCTTTTGCAATATTTTATCAATGTCCTCTTTCTAAAAATGCTTTCATATGTATTACAAAAATTTGACGTCACAGGCACTTTAAAAAGATTTAAAGACTTTTTTTAACTAGCCTATTCTGGCTCTTTTTGAACACATCACTGATTTTAAAGGTTTTTAACAGAGCTTAAAACAGACTTTTCTCAGCTCTGGCTCTTTTTATTTGTGTAATTTTATTTATTTTTTTATTTATTTACTGTGTTTTGCTGTTCTGTAGCACTTTGAGATTTTTGCTAATGGAAAATGCATTAGTTACAAATTAAATTGATTATTATTGTTATATTATTATCATCATTATTATTATTATTATTATTATTATTACTGTATATATGAGTAAAAAAAGGCCCGTCCATGGTTACACTGCACCAAATTTAAAAGTTATAGGAGTAATTCTTTAAATGTGCTTTTGTAAGTTTAAAACACTGAAAATCTTGACAAATAACCCACGCCTCTCAGTCTAAAGCATCATTTTGTTGCATTTCTAGTAGCTTTTACAGATGCTGCTAAAAATAATTTTCTTCTTGTTTCCTTGGATTTTTTTTAAATTTTATTCATCATCCATCTGATTTGTGCTGCTTTGTTGCTACAAGTTCTTAAAACAAAAACTAGAAATAATGAGGCTCGACTGAATTTGAGAGCAAGTTTGTGTTTAAGAATTATTTACAGGTGAATTACGTCCCACACTTGCAGAAACTGGTGTCTGCTGTGGAGGCAGGTCTGGATGTGAGCAATGTTTCTGCCAACCTGACCAGCCGATGGGACATGGGCTCGGCCTTCTTCTTCTGTGGTACCATCATCACCACCATAGGTGTGCTGCGACACTGAAGCCTGTAGCTTTGAGTCTGTCTGAACTCCCTGTAAACATCACAGAACTCGCTACTATAATACATTCCTGACCGTTAGTTTGTCTAACATTTGATTTTTTTTTTCTTTTGTTCTGCAGGATTTGGTAACCTGTCCCCTCGAACGTGGTTCGGTCAGTTGTTCTGCGTGTGTTACGCCCTCTTCGGCATCCCCATGTTTGGCATCCTGCTGGCCGGAGTGGGTGACCACATGGGCACGGTGCTGCGGAGAGCTGTGGCCAAGATTGAGACCCTCTTTCTGGTGAGAATGGTCTGTCCTGTGCAGAAATTAAAGTAAATATATTTATTTACAGCGGGTAAAATAAGTGAACACGTCAGCATTTTTCTCAGTAAATATATTACTAGAGGTGCTAATGACATGACATTTTCACCAGATGTCGTAACAACCCAAGTGATCGATACTTACAAAGAAATCAAACCATAAATGTCCAGAAATGAAGTTATTTGTAATAATGTGGAATGGCACAGGGAAAAAGTATTGAACACACTTACTGAAATTTATCTAATACTTTGTACAAAAGCCTTTGTTGTCAATGACAGCTTCAAGACGCCTCCTGTATGGAGAAACTAGTGGCATGCATTGCTCAGGTGTGATTTTGGCCCATTCTTCCACAAACAGTCTTCAAATCTTGAAGGTTTCGTGGACCTCTTCTATGAACTCTGATCTTTAGTTCTTTCCATAGATTTTCTGTTGGATTCAGGTCAGGTGATTGGCTGGGCCATTCCAGCAGCTTTAGTTTCTTTCTCTGAAACCAACTGAGAGTTTCCTTGGCTTTGTGTTTGGGCTCATTGTCTTGCTGAAATGTCCAGCCATGTTTCATCTTCATCATCCTGGTAGATGGAAGCAGATTTTTATCAAGAATGTCTCTGTACATTTTTCCATTCATCCTTCCTTCAATTATTTGAAGTTTGCCAGTACCATATGCTGAAAAACAGCCCCACACCATGATGTTCCCACCTCCAAACTTCACTGTTGGTATGGTGTTTTTGGGTTGATGTGCAGTGCCATTTGACCTCCAAACATGATGTGTATTCTGGCATCCAAACAGTTCAATGTTGGTCTCATCTGACCAGACTATATTCTCCCAATATTACACAGGCTTGTTTAAATGTTGTGCAGCAAACTTTAAAGGAGCTTCAACATRCTGTCTCTTCAGCAGTGGAGTCTTGCGTGGTGAGCGTGCATACAGGCCATGGTGGTTCAGTGCATTACTTATTGTTTTCTTTGAAACAATCGTACCTGCTAATTCCAGGTCTTTCTGAAGCTCTCCACAAGTGGTCCTTGGCTCTTGGACAACTCTTCTGATAATTCTTTTCACTCCTCTGTCAGAAATCTTGTGAGGAGCACCTGGTCGTGGTCGGTTTATGGTGAAATAATGTTCTTTCCACTTCTGAATTATGGCCCCAACAGTGCTCACTGGAACCTTCAGAAGTTTAGACATTCTTCTGTAACCGATGCCATCATTATGCTTTGCAACAATAAGGTTGTGAAGGTCTTGAGAGAGCTCTTTACTTTTACCCATCATCAGATGGTTCTTGTGTGATACCTGGCCATCATTTAGGACTGAACCAGCTGATATTAACTTGCACTGACAAGGGGCAGGCTTGTTTTCTAATTACTGAGAGAGTTCAGCTGGTGTCTTGGCTTCCCATGCCTTTTTACACCTCCCTTTCTTCATGTGTTCAATACTTTTTCCCTGTGCCATTCCACATTATTACAAATAACTTCATTTCTGGACATTTATGGTTTGATTTCTTTGTATGTATGGATCACTTGGGTTGTTACCGATATCTGGTGAACATTTCATGTCATTAGCACCTCTAGTAATATATTTACTGAGAAAAAAGTTGACGTGTTCAATACTTATTTTACCTGCTGTAACTAAGGTTGCTGCAGTTGGTCAGGTCTAGGTTCAGCAACAGTTTGTGCTCAACTTATACCACCCCTCATGAGCTTCATCTGACAAATTATTTAACCCTAACTGCTGCAGGGAGGAGCTTCTCATTTATTAAATTATGTGAAAAGACATGGTGTGGTTGTGAAAAAGATGTTCATCTGTTTCAGAAGGGTCAAATAATTGGCATCAATCAGAGAAAACATCATAGAGATTACCGGAACGACTGAAATCAGGTTAAGAGCCTGTTCAGATATTTTAAAGTGGAATTCTGTGGGATAGGATTTGAAGAGTTAATATCTTACCTGTTGTAGATGGGGTTTAGCTTTGATCGTACCAATAAACTGAAAGCAGAAATGAACAGAATCAAGACCAAAGTTTGCTGCTGTCTTAAACAGCTCCAGACTCATAACCTTCATGGTGGTTCATGAGTGGGTTTTATAAACATGAATTTCAGTTCTCTACATGTAATTCTGTGGTTAATTTCCAGCTCGAAAAGCAGCTATAGAGATTTTGGTGCAGCCTGGAGCCCTTCCAGCAGAAATATTGTATTAAATCTGCTGGTATAATTTAGAAATCTAACATGAGTCTAAATATAAAGTTGTCTCTTAATGAGCACATAGAGTAAAGAGGAGTGAAGTCAAGAGGCCCACTCCAACAACCGTTGTTATAAAAGAAGGTAAAGACTGTAGTTTAAAGGTGGCTGTGGTATTTTGACCAAAGTTTTTCACAGAAATTATGTCAGCTTGTTAAAAAATGGTCTCTTTAAAATACTTGTTTAGTTTCATTTTATAGAATCCACCTTTGCATTTTGGTTTACGTGATTTAAAAAAAAAAAAATTTCTGCCTCTTCGCTGTTTCTCTTGTAGAAACGAAAGATCCGGCCCACGACTGTGCGAGTCATCTCAGCCGTTCTCTCCATCCTGATCGGCTGCTTGATTTTCCTCGCCGTGCCGACGGTTGTTTTTCAGAAAGTGGAGAAGTGGTCGTTTCTGGAGTCTCTGTACTTCGTGGTCATCACCCTCACCACCGTTGGATTTGGAGACTACGTACCAGGTTCTGACCCGCACACAGTTCTGGGTTTTTATAAAGACTCTTTAGGGCTGTATTTAGGGGTGTATTTATGCCTCTTTTCAGTTGTTTTATAATAAACATACATGTGACTCTTTGATGTTTTGACCTGTTTCCTCACAGCTGCAAGAACAAGTTGTTGGAGAAAAAAAACGCTAAGCAACTTGTCTTTGTTTTTTTTCATAATCACTTGACATCTAAAGTCTTTCTAAGTTTGTTTTTCCTGTTTCCAGGTAGAGGTTATGAAGGTGGAACCATCTTCAAGCCTTTGGTCTTGCTGTGGATCGTCTTCGGTCTCGCCTACTTCGCCTCCATCCTCACTATGATCGCCAACTGGCTGAGGGTTCTGTCCAAAAAAACCCGTGCTGAGGTGAGGGGTTAATCTGTTGATGACCTGCGAGGAGGAGCTGCCGTGTTGTCTTCATCTCTGCCTGTTCCTCCCTCAACAGATGGAGGAGCTGAGAGCCCACGCCACAGACTGGACCCAGAACATGGACTTCCGCATCCCGAACCCGCTGGAATTTAACGACCCTTTCCTGCTTCAGCGCCGTCGGTGGAAGCGCAGCGAGCGGCGTCGCATCCGCCGGGGAGCCCAGGGCACGCTGGGATATTGGGTCCGAGAGAACGGACACCTGCCGAACCGCTGGGCTGGCCTGTCCAGCTCCATGAGCCAGCTGGACGCTCGCTCGTCTCTGGAGAGGGCCGTGGCGGCTAAGGCCAGGCCACGGTTGAGCGCGGCCGGAGAGGCAGCGGTCCTCCGAGCGGTGGCGGGAGGCAGAGCGGATCCCGCGGTGGGTCTGCAGGGCCACGGAAGGACGATCCACCACCTCCTGGCCCGCTCCTTCTCCCTTCCCGCGGCCCGATCCACCTCAGAGCTGGACTCCACAGGAGCAGCCGTGCAGGAAGGATCCTTGTACGGATCCGAGTCTCAGTTTGACTCCAGGTCCGAGGGATCCTCTGTGTCTCTGTCCTTCTCGGTGCTCCCCATCTTCCGGCCCATCAGCAGTGGGGGGCAGGGGGGCGTGGATCAGATGAGCTCAGAACAAGAAAAAGACAAACAAATTTCAGAGGAGCGCTTGGAATCTGAAGCGAGCCATCGTCGCAGTCGGACACCCGTTCAGATTGTTCTGTCCCGGCCCCACTCTCCTCTGCCTGGACCCCGTCCTCCCTCCCCTCACAGCCCCATAGCCGCCTCGCCGGACTGCCAGCTGCTGGATTTCTTCGGGGAGAACCTGGCGTACATCGACGAGTCCTCGGACACCTTGAGCGACCCCGCCCAGTCCGTGGCAGGCGAGGAGAAAACGAGGCGGCCGCGGAAAACCAAGAGGAGGAGCGTGAGGAGGGAGCCGCACACCTGGAGCCCACTGCAGGTGAGGAGGCCCAGCATGCAGCCACCCTCCAACCCTCCGACGCCTCCTCCGGACTCGTCTCCCTCAGACCCTCCTCCATCAGAGACTCAGGTAGACTCAGATCTCTGATGGACAGAATCCACCGCTGTGACAGATCCACCTTGTGTCCAAGCATTAAACACAGACTCATTTAATGCGAGCATGACCCGATCAGCTGCTTTGTGGTTGTTTCAGTCCTCTTCATGCAGCTTTATGCCTTAAAAAACAGTTATTTCAAGTGGAGGATTTCTCACGTCATTCACCAGATATCATCACTCATCTGTTCTTGTTTTCAGCCCGTTCTTTGCACAAGTGTTTGACTCTGATCCTCGGAGCTAAGCTGGTTTGAGACTTGCGTGGTTAAAGCCTTACAGGGAGAGCAGGGATTTATTGTTTCACGGTGGATTAAATGTGTCTAAAAATAAAATTAATGGCAGCTCCAAGTGTCACGGTCAAAACCACAAATAAATTCAAAACATGACAAAGTTTTTTTACACACAGTCAGATGAGTGTGAATCATGGGATGTGGTCCCGCGGGATCACATCCCCCACCCCCTCAAGCCTGAGGTCATCGGTTGTTGGATAAAGAAAAGTGAGTCGGTACTTCCTTTGCTGATGCTTTCAGTGGCTTTCAATGTTTTCAAGGTTTAAAAAAAGAAAAAGCAACATAAGTCATCACACTTATTTTATGTGTGGGTCTTCTTTTAAACAGATTTTATTATTTGTCATTTTTCTTTGACATAAATACCTATAAAACTTTATATACAATGTTTGTCATGAGTTTAACCTGAAGTCAGTTTGCACCTCACCTAAAGTTCAGCTCATATGAAGTGGAGTTGTGTAAAATATTAATATCTTACCCGTTGTAGATGGCTCTTTGAACAACCTCAGTTTGAATCCATAGAGTTTAATTCTGAGCAGTGGTTAGAGCCGTCGCCTCACAACAGGAAGGTTGCGGGTTTGCTTCCCGACCTTTCTGTGCGGAGTTCGCACAATCTCCCCGTGGATTTTCTCAGGTTCTCCAGTTTTCTCCTACAGACCAAAAACACGCACGTTTGGTTCACTGATAACAATAAATAGCTCATTTCGTAGGTTTCTGCGCGCACAGCATTGTGGGTAGGGTTCGGAGGTTTATTGTTTAAAAACAAACTCACGTCATGATTAAATTTGACGGATGAGGCCGCATTTCTTTCCATTTATCTGAGGTCTTTTGTGAATTCTGTCAGAGGAAACACTGGATGAGGTGAAATGTTGGAACGTCGACACACAGTAGGGCTTTTAAAGAACAATCGGTCTATAATCGAAAGTGCAATTTGAAGTTTTTATTTATAAAATATTATTTTGTCGGTTGTGGCAAGTGTATTTTTTTATTTTGATGTACATCATTTCATTTTTAGCTAATAAAATATATTTACAGCTTTCACTGCTGTTTAGGCTTTCAGTTCATTTGGATTTTTAGTTTATTTGCTCTTACCCACATTGTTTTAGCTCCTACTGGCACCCTTTACTAAATGACTCAGCAGTTAGTTGGGACTTCGGCACACGTAGTTTGTATCTACGGTACTTAATTTATACAAAAACAAAAATACTACCAAAACAAGCTCAAAAATATTTATAGCTTAAAGATATTTATGAAAAATCTCATCTGTGATCTTAAAGGAAAGTTTAACATGAATCAGTTCAGATGAAAATACATCATGATGTAAATTTACTGCATGAATTTGTTCAGTTCAAATGGTGTTTCCATAGAAGCCTCAGCATTTATAATGAGTTCCGCTTCCTGTATTTGTAACTATGAAATGGTCTGTTGTCCTGAGGGTGTTTGTCTTTGTTATAGACTTACTTGTCCAGCGGTTTTAACAATTTTTATTGTTTATTTAGTTCCTCATTTGCTTGTTTTCCTGTTGGAACATTATCCAAGTGTTTCACAACTAAATTGATCTTTACAGAGCTCCTTTAAAGTGATAGAAAACTAGTTATTTTAACTCCTATTAAAAATGGAAAGTCAGCATTATAAGCTATAAAACAGCTGATCTCATAGTGCTCACGGGTGGGGAAAAACAAAAAACACATTGTGCACCTGACGAAAACAGAAACGATCCCAATGCACTGCAGAGAAGACGTGACACGACCTGAACCCTGAGAGGCCTGAATGACCTGGAGTCTGGGTGGATTGTGGGATAAATAATCCCTTCCTGAGTCCACGAAGCAGAAACTAGTTCAAGAGGCCGTTGTGGCGTTACGCCCTCCGCTGAGGCCAAAAAAAGTAACCGACTGAGCCCACACTCAGATCCAGACTCTCACATATTTTGTCACTTGTTGACAGAAACCTGGAAGGAGAAGAAGGGGACATATAGCGGTGTACCAGCTGTAGTTTTTTTCATCATGAATCTGGACCCGACGAGGCTGCTTTTAACTGCTTCTCTGTGTGCGATCGCAAAATGACTCAATTCTTGGCTTATCAGCATTTTAGTGCCTTTCATAACAGGAAAAAGGAAAATTCATGTACGTTTTTAACTTTGACGCAACTCTGACACCAATTTAAAAATGTGACAAATTTGTTTAAATTAAAAAAAATTAATTCATATGGCAAATCTAGACTGACATCATGTAAATGTTTATTGAAAGTTAGGTGAGGAAAGATTTGAACAGTGCAACTTAAAAAAAGTATGAATGTAGGCCTAACGTACAAACTTTTAACATTATTTTAAGAATATTCCCATCATATATGAACATGGACTTAATTATAATTTTAAAAATGTACTTATCACAAGTAAAATTGTAGGTTTTTTATTTTTATTTTTATTAATTTTTATTTTATTTATTTTTTGTTGAAAGCAGCCTGAGGTCTGTAAGACGTTAACATCAGTGAGTTTCCTGCCTCCTGCTGTTTGGCAGAGCTTTCCTGCATCTGACTTCACTTCTTTTAGGATCTTTCAGCCAGTTTTGTCTTCAACAATCTGAATGCAGTCAGTCAATAATAACGTTTGATAAATGACTCAGCCGTTACAGAAAATCCCCCCTCTGTACATTTGTTTTGCTGAAACATTTTTAGGTTTTGTCTTTTTTTTTTTTTTTTT